GACATTTTCTCTCTTTACATACACTTTATCATAATTTATACTCATGCTGCGAGTATTTCTCCATTCTGAACTATTTTCTATAGACTTTCAAGAAGGTTTTGGGTTCAATTAATTAAATAATACTTTAAATAATGATTAAGCTCAAAGAAAAAAAAAAAAAAAAAAAAAAACTAACTACTAATTGACTTTTAGTACTCTCATAAACGTTGCTTGAGTTGACTACATAAACATGGTAAATGGTTACATTTTGTTCATATATCTACAAATTTGGTTATTTTGCAAAATCTAATAAGTATTTATTTTACTTATTTAAGTATATATTTATGAACCTCTTGATATGCGCTTGTGTGTGTTTTTTGCGAAAGATTTGCAGAAAGTCGCGAAAGTCGCGAATTTGCAGGGCATTCGGAACATTCTTAGAAACAATTGTAGAAATGCTGGCTTATAAACCGAAGGCAAATGCTTAATGGGCCACCTCGAAAGCGATCCTCTTTATTTGAAGATCCATTCCTTAATTTCCATAAACAGGTTTATCCCTATATAAACAAAAACTTTCTGCTAACCTCCATAAAAAAAACATTCAAAAACTCTAGCGAAATGGAGCCGTACGATGCGCGCTATGAGGATTATTATGCTATGCCGCCACCAGCACCACCGGGTCACCCACACTCGCACGCCCAGCCGTATCCGCATCATATGCAGCGCTCCCGATCCGCTCCTCGATATCCCAATGAGCGGCCACCGCATGCCCAAGATCCCAACTACTACAGCCACTACGGTACAGGCAGTCGTGGCTACAGAGGCCATGAAATGCAGCCCTACTACGACGATCAGGGCATGGAACTGGCGCAGCCGCCGCCCCTGCCGCCGCACAAGAAGAAGAAGTCGGTGCTGAAGAGTCCGCTGGCAGCGCTGAAGAATGCGCTGATCAAGACGACGCGCCCGCTGCGTCGCATGAACAGCATGGTGGAGCCGGAGCGCAAGCCGAAGGGACTGCGACGACAGCAATCGATGCTGGAGCGTGGCGTACAGCGGCCCTACTATCCGGACGAGTATCCCACTTATCCGGCGGGCTTTGAGGAGCGGCCACCACTGCCACCACCAGGCGATCCGTACTATCGCGCGCACTATCCGCAGCAGGAGATGATGAACAGCACGTACCAGAACCTGGAGAGTGAGGATATCTATGGCAATATTGCCGGCCCAGTGCATCGCATGCCGCATCAGCAGCAGCAGCCGCCGGACAACGGCTACGGCAGTTATGAACAGTACGATCTGTATGCGAATCGCGCCTGCATCGACCTGGAGCGGCGCCAGGCAGAGGCCGCTGCAGTCGGCGGACGGAGCGGACGACGCATTGTGCGCCGGCACAGCACCACAACGGCAGACCGCGGTGGTGCAGCAGCATCCGGCCGACGCCACATGCCGCAGCATCCCGGCAACGGCTACGAGCAGCAACAGGCGCACGACATTTACCAGACCCGCCAGGGCGCATACATGATGCCCGAGCAGCGGCGGGCGCCCAACTCAGAGGTCATGACACGACGTCGCTTCTACCCGGGCGCCGCCAATGAGCAGGGCGAGGAGCCAGCGGAGCCCATGTATCAGTCACGACGGGAAATGCAGCGCGAAATGCAGCGCAATCATCTGTATCAGTCGAAGCGAGAGATGCAGGAGCGGATTATTCAGGGCAAGCGGGACATGGAACGAGAGTTGAGTGCGCAGAGCAGCAGCCAGTCCGAGCGCAGCGACGATCGCTCCGAGCGTTCCGGCGATGGCAACTACCACTCGAGGCGGGAGGCAACGCGCAGTCAGCTGCGAGAGCAGATCTATCAGACGCGGCGCGAGGCATTGGACAGCATGGCTGAGCCCATCTATGTGAGCAAGCGGGATGTGGGACGGCCGGCGCCCATCTACGAGACGCGCGAGGAGAGCATTATGCAATCCCGCGAGAACGAAACGGACGAGAAGAAGGAGAAGGAGTGTAAGACGGAGCAGGTGCAGGTGGAGATCAATGCACAGCCCGAGGAGGCGCCGGACAGCACGTTGAGTCGCTCGGACCTGCAGAAGTCCTCGGACACGGTCATTGAGAATACATTGACTGCTGGAGCGGGTCAAGCGCCACTGGTGCAAGACGAAATCGATGCGGATGAAGAGGCAAATGAGGAAGATTCCTCAGCAGAGCCCACAGAGCAACCCACGGCCATTGAGAGCAACCAGCACAACGAGGGCATGTTGGCCAGCGAGACGCAGCAGAACATGTCGGATGATGTGTTCGAAGCCGCCGATCAGGTGACCCCGCTGCCCCAGGCGACGGACTCCGCTGCCATCGGTGCCGCCTCGCCGCGTGCTCTGCGTGCGCCCTTCCACATTTCCAACATCTTGAAGAGAACAGCACCGCCGCCCAGTTCGCCCAGAGCCGACAGCTGCACCTCCATTGAGACGCAGTACACCTCGCAGGCCAGTCTCCCGGTGGGACCTCCAAATGCCACCAGCACGCCATTCAGCAGCAGCATGTCGCTCCCGATTGCGGGTCCAGTGCCAGCCAATGGCAATGGCAATGCGGGTCCATTTCCCAGTGTGCCGCGCGAGCCGAGCACCACGCGCGGCTTCTTCGATAGCAGCGGTGGCACGCTGGCCGACAAGCTGTGGCATGTCTCGCTCCAGATACCGCCGGGCGCCATTCCCGCCGGCGTGCGTCAAGAGATCTACTTCACGGTCAGCGATCCCCGCATGGGACAGGCCGTAGGCGGACCGCCGCTCGACATGGAAAATGGTTGGTCCACTAGCTTTTCCTACACTCTCGTATTGCTCGTATTGTTCGTATTGTGTTGTACCTCCTCCACTACCACCTATTGCAACTACAGCAACAGCAACAGCAATAAGCAAGAACAGCAACAACAACAACAGCAACTACAGCTACAACCAGCAACAACTATATACTAAAGCAAATTCACAAGTTTCTATTATTCTTTCATTTTTTGATTTATTTGTTTTCGTATTTTGCTTGCAAATCATTTATTTATTTTATAATAATTACTATATGCAAAAATATTTCGGGCTTTTATTCACTTCCAAAACTCATCATACCATATCATATGAGTTCTGGAAGTTTTCTGTTGTATTGTTACTGTAGCTATATAACTATTGAATGTATATCATTTTATATATGTACGTAAAACTAACTCTGTAGTTGCTTGCACTAACTCTTACTTATGTGTAATTTGTTTGTACTAATTGCTGAATAGGTATTTTTATAAATGTTTAATATATATGTGAAGTGCACTAACTTTTTAACACACATTTCTCGTCTAAACATTCTGCATATTCATTGCTTCACTCGATAAATATTTTGAATATTATCAAAAATATAAAAGTTATATTTTAGGCAATTAAAAAACATACAAATAATGCACGAATATGCTGATATTTATGCACCATCTAATTTTTGTTAACCCCTTTTTATAAAATCTACAAGTATTTATCCTAAATCTATCAATTTCCTCCCCTCCTATATATAAATGTTATGCTACACCCTTCACTATATTTCTCTTTAACACTTAGAAAACACAAATCTGTCTTATTATTTTGCTGCTTCTCAAAAGCAATTACACACACCAACACAAGCATCTACCTGCAATCGGCTTTATGGCATATACAGATGAGATAAGTGTTAATCAATGTCTAATATTCCCCGTAGGTGAAACGATGCTATCGCCACTCGTCATGTGCGGGCCGCAGGGCCTTGAATTTCTGGTGCCCGTGACGCTTAATATACCCCACTGTGCCGGACGCACTGCATCATTGGGACTGGCGCTGAAGGCGACGGACAGCGAGAAGAATCTACATACCGAATGGGATAATATTGATTTGCCCAGCAACGCGGCTGCCCACACAGTGTCCGTCAAGGTGGACCACTTCTAGACAGTTAGTTATAGCACATTACGTATCCTCATTAACAGATCCACATGCAAATATACGCATTGAATGGACCGCTCTATAATCATATACAATATTCTCAATTGTAAATAAAATCATCTGAATTACATTTAAGCCACAATTCCAAGACAAGCGCGCAACAAATAAACGAAACTTAGGCATTGATTAGAAAAAGATTAATTTAATTGAAATTCTATTTGTTAATTGTGCCTTTAAGTGATCGAATGCTTCTGAGCCAAGTGTCGTATAAATAATATAAGCAAACGAGCTAAATTTAATCAAATAATATATTTAAAAAAAAATTAAAACGAAGAAATCTGTATAAAAAATTAGCTATAGTTTGATAAAAAACAATGTATATTTTAATGAAATTTATTTACCCTATTATTGTATTTTACAAACATTGCATTATTGTAATCGAATTTTGATATTTTATTCTATGTAATTTGCGAATTGTTTTTTACCCACGATCCGCTTTAGCGCATTGCAAATGTTGTATACAAAAGAAATTCTTTTATAAATCGCGTAACTACGCTTAGACTAAGAAAATGCCTATATAGCCAACAAAATGAATATATATATAAATATATATACTATGTACCCAAAATGACTTTTTGTATGCAAAAGAAATAAAAACACTTTGAAGCTTGGGAATAAATAAAGCAGCCACAGCAAATATAAACAATAAATTGTTTTAAAATATTTTCATTGCTTCATAACAAAAATTTAATTATAAAATGTCTGCCATGTAAGTATTATTTGTATTATTTTAAACTAATATTTTGTATTTCCTACCATTTTTTATACACCCTTAAAACACAAAGGATTTGCTTAGTTAACTAAATGTAAAATGCGCTGTTTGAAAATGTAGACAAATATGGGAAATATATTTTAAATACATTTATAATGATAAATAGTAGCGTAGGCATATATGTACGTATATATTCTTCCAATATATATACATACATGCATATATAGGTTTATTTATTATGTATTATTTGTATATATCTCTATGTAAAAATGTATAAATTTATGTATAAGTGCACTGCTCGACAACGAAAATTAACAAAAGCTCGCAAAAGCACTTTTAATCTTATAGATTACATAGAGTTTATGCTTCCAGAGATTGAATAATTAGGTTTTACAATTACATAACTAAACGCCAGGAAACAATTTTAACAGTCTTGGAGTCTATGGGCTCCTACGTGGATGGCGTTGTTGTTGGCGTTGATGCGGTTACAGCCGTTGTCAGCAGCACATCCTGCTCGGGTATAACGGACACAGCCTCCTTAACGTATCCATAGATATGTTTGCGCGTATCATTGACTACATCGCGCACCATGGCCTGAAAGAAACTGCTGTGCAGCGGTGCCTCAGCATATCGCTCGTACTGATCGAGCGAGTCCTGCAGCTTTAAAGTAAGGTCATAGTTCTTGCGAACGACATCAAGTATTTGTTCCTCTGTCGGCGTGGACAAGCCCTGCTCGGCCAGCCATTCCTTAATTTTGTTTTGAAAGTGCTTAACAATGGCGAGTATATTCACAAGAGCATTCAAGAGTTTGATAACATCGTCCTTGTACTCACACTCCGGCATTGTTGTGTAGCGTAAAACTAGAAATAATATTAGATATAGCTGCGTTTAAGACATTGACCTTTCTTGACCTACCCATGGCATGGATTTCCGTAAAGACTTTCTCCTCACGATTCAGCTCATAATAGAGTTCGTCGTAGCTGTTCGTTGTGGCCAGGAATGTGTCGCCGTATGTAATGAACAAATTGAATATGTTGACCACCTGCAGCGACAAGTGGAATATATTGCACTTTTTGACCAGCGTCTGCTCCTGATTGACCAGAAAGCGCAACAGGCCAATCAAGGCCGACCACAGCTCCTTCCAGGGATAATTCAGACGAACGCGGCAACGTTTCTGATAACATAGAATGCGATGAATGACTCCAATGCAGAGCAAATACAGCTCCATGGGGAATTTCTTCATTAAATGCGAGACAATGAACTCCACCAGCAAATCGAGTAATGTGGCAGCCAGAGGCTGCGATTTGCCTACGCGATCCACATTTAGCTTGCGATGGCGCATTTGAGCGCGATGCAGCATCACCTTAAAAGTTAAGTTGCTGTCGTGCATCATTGAGTTGGCATACTGATCCTCCGATATGCAGGTGAGTATCAGAAAGCAAAGCTTCAGGTTGGCAATGCTCGATTCGTTTTTGTTATCTTGCATCACAATCGAACTGAAAGAGCATACCAAAAGAATTAGCGGGGATCGCTTAACTGATATTAAGGCTTGAGTTACCAATATTGAAAAACGGCCACGAGCAGATTTGTCGGATATTGAGTCATGTCTATAATGGGTGCATTGGCCAGATCAGGCGTTGGCTGCGTCAGACTCAATGTGTTGCTCGGCGATGGCGGTGCACTCGACTCCGTCTGTGGATGAGCCAGCGTTGTGATGAAATTGCGGTTGAGATGCACTGCCTCATAGAGGGCGAGCAATAGGCCATTGTTAGCCTTGATCTGCTGCACACGCTCACATCCCTCGTCTGAGACAAACATGTTGCCAACCATGCTTGACAGCGACGAGAACCACGAAGAGGATTGCACGTTGTTTAAACTCTGAATGTACTGGCGGCAAAAATCAATCAGCGACTGTGAGATCATTTGTCCATATCTACAAAAAAATAGATAAAGGGTCATTATACCAAACATTCCTTATCGCGCACACTCTGATAGTTTTCAGCGAGCAGAGCATTAACTGATTATTTACCCATTCAATGCGAGCTCGTCGGCCAAAATGGAGAGCTGCACCACATACGGATTGGTTGCCTCGTGCTTGCGATAGTTCACCAGGATGGTAAGCAGTATAACAATATCGTGGCCATGCTGGGCGCGAAACGTGGGGTCGCTTAGCAGGCGTACAAACGCATCGAACAGGCTGTGCATCATGAGGTACTCGAAGAGCACATTCTGTCCAACATCCGTGCCAGTCACCAGCACCAGCAATAGTTTAAGGCACATGAACCGAGCGTTCTCTGTGACGTCGCCAAGCAGAATGCGATTGCAGTATTGCATTAGCAGCTTCAGCCATTCATCCATAGTCTCGTGGCCAAAGATCTCGTTCAATATGTTCGAGCTGGCATCCGTATTGCACTTTCTGAATATGCCATAGAAGAGTGAGCATAATGTCTGGAGACTGTTGCACAGACGTTTGGGATGATCCTCTACAGTAGTTAAGGAGGTGTTAATAGATATCTTCATTTAAGTATTACAGCTCTTACCCCTTGAGGTGTCCAGCATTTCGATGCATTTCTGGAAAAGCGTATTCAGATTCGGTTTAACCACTTGCAGCTGTTCGTTGTTTAGTTTGCTGATTTGGTCCTCCAGCGACTCGAAATTGGGCTGCAGCAGAAAGAACTCGTTCCAGAACTCTGGGCTATCAGCGCTGGGATCCTCTCCGCGGCAGAGCAATTCATAAATGTAAACAACCTAAATAAAAAATGAAAATATCAAAGACGTTCGATGTATCATATTCGTGCAAACCTTTTCTTTTGGACGTTTTGTGGAACCGCTGCCGCTCCGTTTGCGTGACGTCATCGTGTTGGAAACAATTTGTTAAACTCTGGAATATTCAACAATTCGTTGTGGGTGTCAGCTAGGAGTGATTGTCAGGCTATTGTTGCTACTTTTGCTGGTAGTTCGACATCAGGGCCGTCACTTAATACACGTTCATTCCAATGAATGGGATTGAAACGTGTAGGCAATGCTGATTTTGGTTAATACTTTCCAACACTGCTTGGCCAGCTGTTGTGCAAGTTCATTCCATTTTCGGAACTAGATTTCTGTTCACCTTTTAGGCACACAGGAAAGTTTGCTTTTATACAACGCTCGATCAAACTTATAAATCATTGTTTTATAGCGGAACATCGTAATACTCCTATGCTCGCATTAAAAATTCTTAGTTAGACAGGTGCAAAAAAGTTACTCATTCGCTGAACGCACGTATCAAAAGGCGAATATCTTCTTGTCGTTCTTAACAACAGAAACGACAGCAACAACTTGGACTAACAAAAAAGAATAAAATAAGGTCAAAACATGTCCAGTCTGCCACGTCGCATCATCAAGGAGACGCAGCGCTTGATGCAGGAGCCGGTGCCCGGGATCAATGCGATTCCCGATGAAAACAATGCACGGTATTTCCATGTAGTTGTCGCCGGTCCCAACGATTCGCCCTTTGAAGGCGGCGTGTTCAAATTGGAGCTTTTCCTGCCCGAGGACTATCCCATGTCGGCGCCCAAGGTGCGTTTCATTACAAAGATCTACCATCCCAATATCGATCGCCTTGGTCGCATTTGTTTGGATGTGCTAAAAGACAAATGGAGTCCGGCTTTGCAAATCCGTACCATACTATTGTCCATTCAGGCGCTACTCAGCGCGCCCAATCCCGACGATCCCTTGGCCAACGATGTGGCGGAGCTCTGGAAGGTGAACGAGGCCGAGGCCATACGCAATGCACGCGAATGGACGCAGAAATATGCTGTCGAAGACTGAAGCAGCGCAAGTTCTGCGTGCTCTTAAATCTCCTTGCGTGCTGGCTGCCGGTGGAAAGGGAGGCGTATCAGCCAACTTTTTTCTTTTTTTTAGGGATGGGCAGTTCATCCTTTGTCCCACAAACAACGCAAAACAAAGCAAAGCTAACCAACAACAAAACCGGTAAAAATAAGAAGAGAGAATTAAACATTTTTATAACACATTTTTTTTGTATATTTAAATAAGTCAATGCCGAAGATATGGAGATGGCGATAACAATGAAAATATAATAATAATGCTATAATAAACGAAACATTACAAAATTCTTTGTGAAACAATGTCTTATTTAAGCTCAATCAATAAATTATATGTTTAACTAATATTTCAATTTGTAATTAATTTCACCTATGGAGAGGTGGAGATAACAGTGCAGATTGCTAAATTTAAAGTAAACAACACTGAAAATTCAACATAAACAAAAGCAATGATGCCAAACAAGAAATCATTTAATATCAAATAACCTGTGTACGTATTTACATACATATGTATGTATGCACATACAGACGCATAAACTCATACCACTAACCTCATACACAGAAGGAAAAATATTTTGGTTCTAGAAACCATGAACGAACGATTAAAGCTTGGTACCGTTCTCGATTACAATAGTAAGCAGTTCATTGAGCTGGTTCGATATAAATTACGCAGCAATCATTGTGTTTTTGTTCCTGCTCGTGCTGCAATTTCACAATTATTTTGAACTCTGTTGCTTTGTGGAAAGTAAATTTTTGGAATAAATATGTCCTTCATTAAGAAATCCTCTCGTCTTTTGCAATCCCAGCTGCGTCGGGTGCAGAGCGTGCCAATAGCTTTATACCATGAAAATGTAAGTTTTAATACACATTTTTGCCGCACGAATTCCCTTTCGTAATATGTTTTATACTATAAATACACACACACATGCATATGCATGTATGTATGTACATATGTATATAAGCACATTAACCATTTGTTTTCATTTTCATTTGCACGCGGCAAGATAAAAATTACGTGCTGATAACTAAGTTTGCGCTTTTAATTACAGGTTGTTGAGCACTACGAGAACCCACGCAACGTGGGCTCGTTGGACAAGAAGGATATACGGGTTGGCACTGGACTTGTGGGAGCACCCGCCTGTGGAGATGTTATGAAACTGCAGATCAAAGTCGATGAGAATGGCAAGATCATCGATGCCAAGTTCAAGACATTTGGTTGCGGTTCGGCCATCGCCAGCAGCTCGTTGGCCACGGAGTGGGTGAAGGGCAAGTCCATCGACGAGGCGGGCAAGCTAAAGAATACAGATATTGCCAAGGAGCTGCGTCTGCCGCCTGTGAAGCTGCATTGCTCGATGCTGGCAGAGGATGCCATCAAAGCCGCCTTAGCCGACTACAAAGTCAAGCAGCAGAAGAACGAGACGAATTAAATACATATACTCAAGTTACATACAAATAGTAGATATGATAACCGATTAAGAGTTATCAATATTAGAAAAACGATATACAGATATACAGTTATTTTGCATTGAGTTTTAGATTATTATTAATGTGGCTGTGTAAGTAGTTATATAAGTGCTCACTGAATTCATACTTATGTAGAGTTCTTCGTTTCCAGTTTGTGAGATTTGGGATTCAGGAACTGAACAATAAGGACTCGCTGGAACTGATCCTAATTGAACGATCTGTGAATATATGTGTGTGTGTACGCTTTGGAGTGACTGGACCCCATCTGAACGGTCATGGAATATGTGTTTGTCTTAGAGGGTAGCTAATACTGATGGACGATGGCTACTTATCTAAATTTTTTTTGTGAATGGACAATATGATTGCAGTGTGGATGGAAGCCAATTAAATCTTATAGTTATGCAAAATTCAAGCTTAATTAATAATCAATTAAATGTTTAAACGATCTGAATATAAAATGCGTTTATTGATCTTGTTAATATACATTATTTGCTTTTTTTTCCAGTTTCAATTGCAAAGGTTCGTTTATCGCGATTCCTATGATAGACGTACGCTAACTCCGCCGCCGCACTCGCCCTTTGACTTGACCTCGAATGCTGAAAATTAAAGTTGTTAGTTCAATCCCATTTAAGATTAATCAATCAATATCAACTCACGATCGTCAGCGTGCTGGCAGTTATAGTTGGCCATGACGCAGGAGCTGCCGAAAGTTAAGAGACGCTCCTTGCTGCCGTTCTTGGCCTTGGCACAAACGGGCTCGTAATCATCTCCGCAGGCGCGAGCACAGCTATTGACCACCTTCTTCGAGTCCTTGGCCGGGCTAGCGAGCACGAATGCCAAGAGGCACAGGGCTAATTGGCAATAAAGCAAAATACATTATTACACATACGTAATACACTTTTAATAGTATATTGCGTTTTAGACCGAGTTCTCTGTATTGAATATACATATACATGTATACCTTGCCTATTTTTGCTAATCTCGGGAATTGGTTAGGTCAGTTTGCTCTGAACTGCCATATATAGATCAATATTTATATTTACTGAGAGATTTCATTATCGCAGGCAAAATGTACAAGTATTACGTGGGATACTATAGAAATGCCATAGGATTATTGAAATCGTTTTTATTTCACTTGTAAGCTTTTCATTTCTATACAAGTTCTCTAATTATTTTTTAATGTACTACTCTTATCTAACATTTTTCTTGTGCAGTAAAGTTTAGCTGGCCTGGAAACATATACATACATATGTGTGTATGTACATATGTATGTATGTATATACATACCTGTTCGAACTCTTGTAAAAAAAATTTCTGCTTTTAAATAATAGATTTTTACTTTTACGCCTGTCACCAAATTATGATATACATATGTACAAATTATACTTACATATACATAAGTCCCGATGTGGACGTTATGCAGTAAATAGTCACTTACCCAGAATGGTAAACAGAGCGAAACGCATTTTTATATTTCCAGTATTCCAAAAGTTTTAGAGCAAAAAATAAGCAAAATTTGGCACAAACCGGCTTTGAGTTGAGCTAGAATAGAACTGAATTCGAGACTGTGGGATTTATCACCTTTATATACAACAAGTCCAGCTCAGAGCGTAGCTGTTGAACAATAGCCGGTGACACACACACACACAGGCTGATAGACATGAATATACATATTTATGTGTATGTGCGATGATCGGAATCACTCATCCCACACTTAAATTACAGTGTATTAAAAAGTAGACAAGCTTTGAAGTGCATCGTTATTTGTATGAGTAGGTAAAAATGGCAATGGACGGGGACAACGACAGTGCCTGGGTCGATGAGAACAAATGGGAATTGGAATAGGGGATGGTGTCATTTAGTTTAAGGCGGTTATGGTGGCACTTGCCCCCTCCACAGATCTACTAACAGACACTTACAACAGAGGTGGGCAATTATCAAATTAGCGAATTTAACAAATATGGCAAAAAAGGCGATTAGTTAAAATTATATTAATATGTACATTTAACATCTCTTATCTAAAGCAGCATTAATAGAAGACATATACATTAATTTGTGTAAATGTGCTTTGAATCTTAATACGTCAAATGCAAATTACAGATCCACATTTACAACTCTGGATCAAACCAATTTACACACATTTGCATTCTTATGTGTGCAATGAACGGGAATCTGCCCCTTTGATCTAGTTCACGTGACGTTTCTACGCACCACAATCAAGTCTCTGCCTTTCATATTGTTGAATTTAATGGAATTGTTTATCAAAAATGCTCTGATTGTCATTAAGATCTGCTTGAATTCAGTGATGTCAGACCAGTCATTAAACTTTATAATATCCATATGGATTAAATCATAACTGAGCAAAATTTCCTTGTTCATAATATATAATTTTTTCAAATTTGTTGTTTTTAATACATGTGCATGTATGTATGTAGTTCATTGAACCTAAAAAGCGTATATAAACTCTGAAGTAAATATTTCAAATAAAACTGATATATTTATAAAGTAACTATAAAATATTCGAAAAGAGCGCATTCCATTCAAATAACTCGATTCCATTATCACAGATTCAAGGAATCAGTAAATCGAACTATCGTTACTTAGAATCGATATAAAATGTGCGATGTTTAGTCACACCTCTAGTTTTCACAAACTCAATGCGTCATTTCTGGCATTAAACGTTTGCAGTTTCACAACAGAAAAGAAAGTTTTTTTT